AAGGTTGCTACTAGATTTCTTCCCACCGAAGAGAATAAAAATTTGAGGAACAACTGCGTTCTCCATCTTGCTTCTGGAGAGTCACAAGAAAATTCTGAGGAACATGCAATAAATAACTTAATTCTGTTTCACCCACATCTCTCAAAGATATCTAACCACAAATAAAACCTTTTGTCTTATTTCACTTAGGGGCATTGGTGAGAAGGTGCACCCATTAACACCCCAGAGCAAACCTGAGATGTAATGGGTTAGGCAAGGCCTCAGTAAGGCTGGTGTCTAAATCCCCCTGCCGGTGGATGAGAAGAATACCCACCAGTTTATTAACTCCAAAGGGAAATGCCAATTAAGCAAGGTCCATTGTATACAGAAGCTACCTGTGGTTGGGTATGTGGAGCTCAATGGCCTAGACTCTGGTACAGATGGTCATGACACCAATGTTGTCTATATCATCTCCTGCTGGGACCCTGGACAAGTCTCTCACCCTTTTAGCATCAGTTTCATCTTCAGTAAAATGGGGATAAGAAATAGTAGTCAAGTAGATTAAATGATTTCCTACTTGCAAAGTCCTTATAAATGTTTGTTAAATAAGATTGTGCCATTAAGCATTTACTCCAATTTTTCTCTACTGGTATGCATTTCCTTTCATAATAGACAAAAATCAAATATAACGTGGTAAATGGAATATTACTCAGCATTCAAAAAAGATAAACACATGCAATTTGCAGCAACATGGATGGCGCTGGAAGGGATCATGCTCAGCGAAATAAGTCAAAAAGAAAAAGAAAAATACCGGATGGTCTCACTCATAGCAGGAATCTAGAAAACTTAAATAAGGGATCAGGAAAATGAATAACTATAAGAAAGTGAAAATCAAAATCAACAAAAAACTATGAACCAGAGACACTTTTTGGGGGGTGGGGGCCGGGAGGGGAGGGATTGGGGTCAGAATGGGGCATGTGCAGTTGTATGGGGGAATATATAAAAATAAAATTTATTATTTAATAATAAAAAAAAAAAACAAATATAACGTGGTAAAAACAAGGCCCTTGCATGCCTCATTTTAAGACAGGCTGTTAACTAGGTCACAAGAATACAAGTCAGGCTAGAATGGGCAACTCTGCTGTTAGAGGTGCACATAGACTTAGTTGCCTTTGAGCTCCCTATGTTTTCTGGGGGGCGTTATTCTCCCCAGAAAATTATGTGGAGGGCCGGGCTGTCAACCATGTGCGGAGTGATCTGGCCTCAAGTGCAGTGGTTCCTGAGGATTCTGGCAGACAGGAACAGCAAGGCATGAAGGAGGCAGAGCCAGCAGACTCACAGATGGACCAGTGATTACCCAGCAAGCTGGCACTTTCCAGGGCTCACCAGCCCTGCTTCCACAGGCACAGCTTCCAAGGAGCCCTGGGCAAGAGCAGCAGGAGCTGGGTAGGCCTCTATCTTCCCAACCTTAGGTGACCCTTAACTTAGTTGTTAAAAGTAATAAAATAAAAACTTTAAAAACATAAAAGAAATGAAACAGATTGAAGCAATAAAGGGAAACAATTTGGTAAGACCTTGATTATTTTTTCTTTAGTATTTACTTGAAAACATTCATATAAATTATATTTAGTTTTTATAAGGTTAACACATATATCTTTATGAAGATTGTCAAATATGTTGAAAACATATTTATGAAGCCGCTGAAATGTAGGGGAGGGTGTGTGTGGGGGCTTCCCCCTATCAAGAAGCAATTCTTGGGCATCAGTAGGAGGGTGTTCAAGAATTCAACTGGACTCAGCTAAATGCTGACACTACCAATGGGTAGCAGCAGATTCCAGAGAAAAGGGGCGGAGTCTTCCAAGACTCAGGCTTACTCATGTTTCTTACCAACTGTGGAGTTTCCACAACCCCCTCCTGAGACTTGAGGTTCCAGCTGCTAGCCTAGGTTATTACCTGTGTTTCTCGTTAAGTGGCAGTATATCAGAATTCCCTACAAACCCATCCTCAGGTTCTACGAATTTGTTTGAGAGGCTCACAGAACTCAAGGAACCCGTTGACTCACTAGATTTTCGAGAGATCATCTGAGCCCTCTCCAGGCATGCCATGTTCCCCAAACTTCCAGTGTTCAGCAACCTGGAAACTCTTTGAATCTCCCCCTTTTGAGTCTGGTTACACAGTCCTTCTTGAGTGATTAAACAATTGGTCTTTACTAATTAATTCAACCTCTGGCGCCTCTCCCCTCCTGGGAGGTCTGTTTGGAGGTGGGACCTAAAGTTCCAACTTCCAATCACTACATTGGTTCTCCTGGCAACCTGTGCCACCCTTAGGTGCTTATAAAAGCCATTTTAATTACATAACAAAAGACACCTCTATACTCTCAACACTAGGAAATCTCAAAGCTTTTGGGAACTGTCAACCAGAAACTGTGGAGAAAAGCCAAACATATATGAGAAATAAATGTTCAATCATCTTAACGACCAAACATCTATTTCTTGCATGCAGAGTATCACATGCATTTAAAAGACTGAGACATTTGAAAACAACAAAGCAGATAATGTACATGAATGATATCCAAGTGGTAGAGTAAAAGATTTTCTTCAGGTATATGAGATTTTTATGAACCTATATAAGGTTTATTATTATGATTATATAATAATCCAATGACTGTATACTAATGTCATTACAACTGCAATTTTAGAAATCTCATAATTTATATAACATAATTCTTGTAAAAATAGGCAGCTACTTCTTACAAATACAAGTCAACATTGGGGTGTATGATGCATCTCTCTTGAGGATAAGGAAGGGAGGACCCTATAATTTGGTTGGGAATGGCCCCCACACACCTGTTCTCGGGGGTTCTCCAGGTTTCCAGTTACATGCTCTGTCTGTGAACACAGGAAACCTGTGTTCACAGACATGCTCTGTCTGTGAACACAGTTTGGAAACATCTTTTACTGCTCTAGTAAGATACACACATGAGCTCCTCAAATACCTGGGGCTCTCAGGTACCTGGGGTGCAGTCCCTACGTTCAGGGGTGGGCACAGGTAAACACAGAGCCTTGTGAAGCAGACACACCAGGTCTCAGTTTTGGTTTACATTTCCACCAGTTTCCAAAACAGGATATGCACACCACTTTGGACCTCGGCATTTACAGTTGTTGCTTTTAAAGTTCTGAACATTTTAGGCACAGCGTCCTCTCTCACTGTTCTGACAGGCACATCTTTTAATGTGTCTTTTTCCTCTCATCTTAGGCAGCTCACCCTCGCTTCTGTGAATCACCAGATGAGGAGAGTAGGTGAGTTTCTCTTATACCAACATGTGAATGTTTAGGGAGCAATCTCCAAGCAGGCCAGGTGTGTTTATAAACTTGTGTGATTTTAATTTTTGATACCGTGGTATTTAGAGTCATATTGCTACCTTAAAGACTTTTTTCATGTTAAATGTGTGATGTAATGTGAAGAAAAACAGCACTTAGAGGAAAACTATTTCTCAAAATTATGATTTGCAATCTACAGAAATGAGAAGCTATTAAAAATATATATTTTTTAAAAAGCTCTAAGCTGATTCATTGCTTAAGATTTTCAGATTCCCCACTGCTCTGCTATTTTCCCATTCTGTATGCACAGCGCAGATTCCTGCCAAGCCTATTACAGTGAACAAACAATGTCTTCTCTGTCAGAACAGAGAATGAATAGTATCACAAAATTCTCCTCTAATGTACAGCCTCCATTTCCCCACCCAGCCCCTTCAGAAGAGAACAACCAGGATGAGGGCAGATGAGGAAAACATTATTCTCCGCTTGCCAATCTGAAATCACGTTCTAGCAAGCTAGGGACGAAGTAATGTCAACTATATATTAACTGCTAAATAGAGAAAGTTGACAAGTTTATTTTCTTTTAAATTGGATCGTATATTTTTCCATTTCTGTGTGTAGTGCACACGAATATCTTTATCGGGAAGGAAGGAGGCATTTCATCAGATATAATTTCAGGGCTTAGCAAAAACAGCTTTTAGCTACAGACTAAGCAACAGGGGAACCTCACAGGAATGACACAGCAATTTGTGTTAAAATATTGGCAGCTAATTCATGAATGCTGAAACTGAGTATGAATTCAGCTGCTTTTGTTAAGCGTTTATTCCCTGCTAAGCTCACGATTCATAAAGAAAGCGCCTGGAGTTACTCTTCCGAAATGTACAGGATGCTGCTGCCAGAATTCACTTTGGTGTGTGTGCCTCCTGCTCATCTCTACTCATTCATCCAGTCACTCTCTCCCTCTCTCCCTCCCTCTCTCTTATTCATTCTCCCTCTCTCCCCTGTTCCCCCTTCCCTTCCCCTCCTCTCTCTCCCCTCCCCCTCCCCCTTCACACACACACACACACACACACACACACACACACACACACACACACACACACACCCGACACCTCCCTCCAGAAAAGATCCATTAAGGAAGGATAAGATCTTCCAAAACAAGAACTTCATGAGCATTTCTCACCAACCAACAAAAAGCTTACTTAGTAGGTATTTTCATGAAAGAATATGGATTTTTCAAACGCCTTCCATCTTCATAAATCTTGTATTATGAATCACATTTCCCCCCCACCTTGTGACATGACTATAGGATGTACTTTATTTTAACCTCTAAAGGGAATCAATCAACCCTTTCATCATAAAAGAAGAAATACTATTTTTATAATCAAGCCACACTGGCTTTTGTTTTCATGAATATCGGGGAGAGATTATCACAAAGGAAAAAGTATAGCTTCCCCTTTCCCACACACTTTTTAGTACAGCTCACTGAGCTCCCGGATTCTGATGGCATTCTCCTGGTAACACGTTGAGGAAAGACTGCAGGACACACCAGCAGCTCTGCTTTCCTCTCTCCCTCTCCCGTTTTCTCTTGTATCACCCTAGGTTTGTATGAGATGAAACAATTAAGCCTTTGTTCAGGACCACTGCAATTTGCAAATTCTAATGAAGTGCCTACCCCCTTATTGGGGCAGTGGTAATATTTACCTTGGAGAAATGTTTGTCCAAATAAACTACTCAAAATTCTGGCAATGTCTTCCCTTTGAAGGGTTGTTCTGATGAGAATTCACTCTTCTTACTTGGCCTATAACCAAAGAGAAAGAAAGTTAAGGAAAAACAACACAGATGGATAGAGACTGTGAAAGACACTTGTCTAGTTCACTGTAAAAATGAGAGATTTGTGCCAAACATTGAGCTTTATAGTCTTTCTTGAGCAAAGCCAAGTGCAAAGTGGAGGAAAAACTACAAATAGTAGTGAGTGAATCAAACATTTTCTCTGAAACAACAGCCTAATCAAATAAAAAACAATGTGCTCTTTACATATTTTTTCTAGTTCTGTGGCAAATAAAATGATGTGTTTTATTAAATCCAAAGAAGTATTACCTGAATTTGAGATAAAGCAAGTGATTTATTTGAAAAGAATATTTATGTTTTTAAGCAGGTGAGTTGTGGTTTAATTGTGATCATGTCTTACTTAAAGCAGCAGATTTGGTGCAGTATAGACAGTGTGCAGTCACATCTTCATTTGTTCCATGTAGAAATAGGAAGATGTGCTGAAATGGAGACTTCAAGGATGATTTTCTTTGACCTCCCTTCTGATTCACCGGTAAACTTCAGTCCCAACACATATGTAGTTCTGCTTATTTTGGTGCAGCTCTTTCTCCATCCCCCTCTTCTCTTTAGTTCTCTTCCCACCCTCTCCTAAGGTATTTCTTGTATAGAACCACTGATTTACATAAGACACCACGATAGGCATAGTGTTACAGGCATGGCGTGAATGAACTAGTGAATGAATGGCATATTTATACTCTGAGAGTAGCCTGTCATTGACTAAGATTCAAACTTCTCAATTACTTGAATAGACAGGTACAATTCCTGATTTGCAATGTAAAAACTTGTGAAGAACATGAGCCTTCTAGATTTGCATCTAGCGATGGATGTCCTTTCATTAGGACCACATATGATGAAAGATTGAGTGTTGCTTTTTTTCCACAGCAGAATCAGAAGATTATTTATATTATCTTGAGATACATCTATTGTTTCCCTGACAGTTACCAAGTGAGAAATGGCTGCCTTTTGTTTGCTGCTGCATTCAGCTGTATTATTATTTTCTTTTTTAGAATAAGTCCAAAGAGATCAGAATAAGATACACCATCACGGGCTGTCTTCCTCCAACCTGACTCCAGGTCTTTTGACTGTCAATCAAGCAATATGAGAGGGCAGGGCTTCACTGGGTGAAAAGCTTGACAGCTGGGAGACATTTCCACTTATCTTTTACCCTTTCATTAGATTTCAAATCAAACATCCTCTTAAATCCCTGACAAACAGATGTATTTAGATGTGAATTCCAAGTATAAATCTCTCCACTTCCCTCTCCATGTCAGCAAGGTCAGTCCCAGAGAACTCCCCTGAATTCATCTGATGATCTAAAACAAATTGTTGTAGTTAAAAAAAATGATAATTTTTCTTAAAATGTCAAATCTTTTTAATATATATTAGAAGTATGTTGGTATGGAGCTTCTCAAGGACTAGATATAAGCAAAGAAATTGATTTGAAAATTGAATATGACTTGACAGTTAATTTAATGACATAAAATAATTTTGCATTTTCAGGATATGCAGTTCATGAATTAAAATTATTCCAGGGAGACAAGGCATCAAAACAGTGTGGAAGCACAGACTTGAGTGACTCTACTCCAAATTCATGTTTGACTTTTGAAAACTATACTTAGAGGCAAGATATCTACTCGATATGAAAGTAGAATTATAAAGCTTAATTAGGAATTCTCAAATTCAAAATAAACTTAAAGGTAATCTATAAATCAACCCTACTTGATACTTGAACGCTTTCTATAATGTCTGTGATATCCAGCTTGTAAGTGTAAAGTTAAAAGAACATGGTTTAGCAAATCAGTTAAAAGTTCTAAACACTGAGTAAAACTCAATGGCTAACATACAGTAATGATTCAATATTTACTCACTAATTTAAAAAAAATCAGAGCAGACTAGAGAGTATTGCTATTAAAAACAAACAAACAAACAAAAAAACAAGAAAATATTCTCTCAGTCATTGCAGAAAGGAATAGGACTACAGGTCGCCCATGACAGGCACACTACCATAGCAACGTATCACACGTGCAAATGCTATCTAAGTAAATACTATGCTTTACAAGTTTTTCAATGGAAACAAACCAATAGAAAAAGAGCAAATCTGATTATAGCCTTATACAGTCTTCATCCATAATGAAGGGTTTCCAAAAGTAATCCCCGTTGTCTGCCTGGGAATTGCTATCAGGTGTGAGCTATGGGTAAGGAAGTTTCTTCTGCATTCCAGTGGTTTAGTGCCTTCAACCTTGTTTGCGTTCTAGTTCTAACTTTTAGAGTCATGCAGAACAAGTCCAATATTCAGCAAGCTTTGAAATACTTAAAGATACCTATTTAAAGAAGTTCCTGTTCCCCTGTCCTTGAGCTTCTCCTTCTCCCTTTCAAAGAGTATAGCTTTGAATAACACCGGCAAGAGCACAAAGGCTGTAGAAAAGCCTTGGGATTGGGTCAGGTCTGTTCACAAGAACACAGTAGGCTGAGAGTCTACCTCAGATATAAATCTCAAACAAGGAGAAGTGGCCAAAACCCGAACACAATATCTAGTGAACAAGGTAACCTTGATCCGACCTATAAAACAGTCCTTGTCTAGATTGTGTTTCTGTGCAAAAAGAACAAGTGAGGAGGAAACAGGAGAAGACACCCTGGAGACTGACACTTTCATTTTGGGGTTGTTTTGTTTTGAATGACCAAGATCAATAGCAATTGTCCAGGTGAAGTAGCACTTTATCAAAGAACAGTAGAAAAGGACTCTTACTCTGCTTAGTTCAGATGTTACACTTTTACTTAGAAAGTCAATGATCACAGAAGATTTTTTCATCAGCTACATTATGCTGTTGGCATCCAGTTCTTATACTTGACTAACAAAATCTAATTTATTTCATATGTGATACTGCTAAACCATAGCTCTCCTTATTGTCTTTCTGCAACTTAATTGGTGGTGGTAGTAAGGTGCTTTTACATTCCCTGTGCCATTTCTGCCTCTAAGATTTGGGTTATTGCATGAGGTGTCAAGATGTTCTTGACTTGTTACTCTTACTTATGATTACGTTAGGTATGTCTCCTAGCTTTGGGCTATGAGGTTTCAGAGTTTTATCCAAGGGAGGCCTAATGTTGAATGGAAGAAGATTTTGCTCAAATACCAAAAACCTTTCTTCAGGAAAATAGCAAGTTATGAATTAGTTCCCTCTATATATTCTTACCAAACCAGTTATTAATTCAGCTAATTATACATATCCCCTATTTGTCTCAAGGACAGATGTTAGCAATTTGATAAGCTTTTGGTATAAAATTCAAATATACATAGATATGAATTAACGCATATTTATTGATCTATCTGAATTCTATGATGGGCTTAATAATTTGTCAATACAACAGACATAAACTTCAAAACATAGACATTTCCTTCCATTAAAATTTTAATATTCAGTCCTTCACAGTAATCATGAAAGAGAACCATACTAAATATGTTCAGCATGCAGCAATTAGAGGTAGCTAAAGACAGCCAATGTGGGCTGTGCAATTCTGGAAAACCTAACTTAGGGTACTTTCCCCTTCCTTCTCCTTGGATACTTGTTTTCCTCAGTGGCACCTCTCTCCTTGCTAAGCTTGCTTGCATTTTCTGGGAGATTTTCTTGCTGGGCCTCCCAGCTATGCCTCTCATCATTCCCCCCGCCCCCCACCCCAGCTGCTTTACTCACACTTTCTGCCTTCCTGGTATTGACGGTATTCACAGTTCTAGTTTTCATGCCATCTGAAGTCTCCTGCCTCATTTTTCACACACTCTAATAGCTGAGATCTCTGATGTAGGCAAAGCAACAGTCCATTAAGAAGCCAGTGTTTCTGGGGTTTAATTTTCCTTACTGACAACAGAAAAATGGAGGGACAAAAAGTGTTCATAAGAAAGGACAGTTCACAGACGTGCCTACAAGAGGCCACTATCACAGAAGAAGACAAGAAGGTGAAAAAAATCGAGCTTTTTTTAAGCATCAGAAAGATTATGACAGTGGGAAAATACTTCCCTCTGAAAAATCCTTCGCAGTGGTGCAATTTAATGAAAATAATCCCCTTTCTTGAATTCTGGGGAGTCCATGATAAAAATCCTTAACCAGGCCTCCCTGATGGCGCAGCGGTTGAGCGCTGGGTTGCGAAGCTGCCCGCGGCCACTGCAGCGCCGGTTCGATCCCCGGCTGCTCCCCGGCCACTGGAGGAGGGTCCCACATGGCGCGCAGACCTCTCCTGCCGCCCGCTGCTCCCCTCAGCAGTGTACTTCGGTCCTTCTGCCTGTTCTGCTCCCCGCTCTGGCTCTGGTGAATTCTCTCACCCTCCCGCGCTTCTGACTGTACCCAGTGCTTGTATAAATAAATAAATAAATCTTTAAAAAAAAAAAAAATCCTTAACCAAGTATCTGTATATCTACAATATACAGAGCCCTGGTAAGCACAGATCCAGTTATAATACAGGCACTGACTTATTAACAAATGATATTTTATTAGCAAAAACTTTCATTATGTAAGTATGCTACCTAGAAAAAAACCTTAAGATGAAATTATTTACTATAAGCCTTATCTGTGAGCACGCATCCCAAACAAGGCTTGGACATGAATTCCTTGCAGTTTCAATATTGACAGAAAAAAAATGAAAATGACCAAATTGTTCAACAGGAAACAAGAAACGGCCTTTGTGGCAAAGAATAGAAGAATCTACAAAATGCAAATTTAAGGTATTTATGGTCAGTTGCTTGCATCTCAGACATCTCAAAGCAAGGTAGCACAAACATTAACACTAAAAAGATTCACTTCAGAATGTAAATGTGGCTTTTGTGACTAGGAATATATAAATTGACTCCTCTAATAATTAATTTCTGAATTGGTAGTAAAAGAAATAATGAAAACACCCTCCTCTAGGCAATATAAATAAACATGAAATGGTAAGCAGAACAATCAAAAAGGTCATTCATTCATTCATTCATTTCCTCATTCA